CCGCGATATGTTCCTCGGCGTCGTGTTTGAAGTCGCCCAAAGGATGCTGCAGAGGGTCTGATTCAAACTCGAGGTTCTCGGAGTCGCGAGTCCGCCAGTAGTATCCTGCGGCCGATGGAAGAGACTCGATCCAACGTGTGCGAAGCAACGCGACCCCGGATTCTGACTCGACGAGCCCAAACCGAAGTGGGTCAAACTTGTCCCGGGGCGCTTCTTCGACCCCCCAAACCGCGAGCCACTCTTTGAGCGTCTTCGGGATGCGGTCCCCACCGAGCATCAGGCGCAAATACGCATCACTCTCTGATCCGTCGGACAGCTGCAGCAGCAGCCAGTCGGCCCGCACCACCAGCGGCAGGCGGGCGTCGCTGTACGGGTAATCGGCCAGCACCTTCGCCCAGTCCGTCGCCGACCACTGCAGGTCGCGGAGGTCGATGTGCATGAGCGTCGGCGTCACGTGCTGCGGCGTGCACCGCTCGACGATCGGCTGCAGCGAGCTGCTCGCAACCATCAGCTTCACCGCGACCGCTAGGTCGGCCTGGTGCTCGGGCGCCGCGGCGGCGCAGCTCGGGGACAACTCCGAGCTCAAAGAGACGGCGGACCCGCCAGGATTCCACACCGAGCAATTCGGCGAGTTCGCGGGTGGTGAAGGCGTTGACCATGGGCGAAGCTCCGTGCAGTTCGATACTGCACTTAGCTTCGCGAAACGCGGCCAATCACAAATACATACTGCAGATTATGCGCCTTCACTCTCTGCAACTTGTTTCTGGACAACAGGTTGGCGTTTCTAGGAAGTGGAGGCGCATGCGAACAGCATGCGCCCCAAAACGCTCTGCGTTAACGCTTCATCGCCCCTTTCGTTTTCGTTTGTTCCGGCGATAGCTCAGCGATGATCTCAGGGACTCCAAAGTAGGCACTTCTTTGATCGAAGTATGGATGCGCTTGTAGTTTTCTACGAGCTGACGAAGCGTCGTTGTCTTGTCTTTCGCTTGCGATGCCTCAATGAAACCGAGCAGGTGCTCTCTATCACCTGCCTTCGCTGTGAGATTGCCCGAGTCATCTTTCAACCTCGTGACGCGCCATCGACTTGCGATCTCCAGCTCGATACGACGCCTATTCAGGCAGTTTAGTACTCCTCCAACACCCGCGTCACCGATGAGCCGTAGCTGGGTGAGCTCTTTGAATCCAGCATGGTACTTCGCAAGAATCTCTTCATCCGTACTGGTACCATTGAAAAAGTCGAAGCGACGGCGAAACCACAGTCCTAACCCGGCAAGGGCATCGTGAGCGTTGTCAAACGACAACACCTCGGAACGAACCATACCGCCTTCAGTCTCATTCCAGAAAGGCAATGCGAGCGCGACGGCTGGTTGTCCTATGCAAGCCTGGGAGATACGCTAAGAGTAGGCGGCGCACCATCTTACGTCAAGACAGCCCCGGCGATGGAACCGACGGGCATGTCTGGAAAACGTCCATTCACTCGGCAATTAAAGCCTTTTACCGCCAGGAGAACTTCAACTGTGAGCTGCAATGCTACAAGCGATTGCGGCAACACGGAGTTAACGAGATATTCGGCCTGAACGTTCCGGTTCTTGAGGACTACGACGCCGAGCTGCGAGTCATCGAAATGACGTTCGTTCAGGCGCCCTACCTTCTCGACTTCGGAAAGGCCACGGTCGACGCGCCTCCTTCCCACCTTTTAGACCCGAGAGACGCCCGAAGGTTTGAGGCCGAGTGGAGGAGCGAATTCGGCTCCCGTTTTCCCGAAGTGAACGCGGTCCTCTACGTGCTTCAATCGAAGTACGGGATTTATTACCTGGACCCCAAGCCCGCAAACATCAAGCTCGACGCCGAGGGCGACGAGGATGACGATGACTGGATGAAGGAACCGCCGATCGATTACTCCAGCTACGACTGAAAGTCGTCTGATTCAAAGTGAACCACTACCGTCTGCGTGTACCACTTGCCGCCGCTTCCGCAGATGAAACCGTACTTTCGGCAGTCGTCCCAGTTCTGGTGCGGGCCTTCTCCCAGCGACACGTAGAAATCGCGGCCATTCCAGGGCTCTTGCCGCTTCTTAGCCGAAGACTTGCTGGTCTGCACCTCGGCGTCCTGCGGGTCGATCAGCCACGACCGCGTGAGGTACTCACTGCCATTGTCTCCGAAATAACGGAAGAAGACCGTATTAATTGGCACCCCATACCTGCCGCTTAGATAGGTAATGATCCGCTCGGTGCTAGGGTCCAGCTCGGACGCGACGATGATCATCCGGTGCGATTCGTTCACGTCCTCGGGAAGGCTGTGGGAGAAGGTCTCGTCGAACCCGACTTCCAACTCCCTACCATCGTTCTTGGCGGCATACAGATCGCCGATGTCGTCGTAGGAAAGCCCCTCCACTCACGACGCATAGTCGAGAGCCTGCGCGACCACCTCGCGCGGCGTCTTGTTCCGCTTCAGCTCGATCACGACCAGGTTGCCGTCGCGGTCCATCGCCAGCAGGTCGATGAACTTGCCGTGCGCGGTTGGAATCTGTCGCCCCAGCAGCATCAGCCCCGGCGACAAGACTGACAGGTCCGCCGCGATGGTGTCCTCGAGTTTCGACTCCGACTCGATCGGCTCAAACTCGATCCGGCTGAGCGTATTGCCGAGCCGCCAGATTCCTACCTCGATCGGCATCACTCCTCCCAAGCTTGCTTCTTGAAAACCTACCTAGATCTTGTCCACATTGCGCAGCGCGATTTTGATCTCGTACTCCTTGGCCGCCACCTCGGGGTCGTCGGCGATCGCGTACTTGATCTTGTCTGTGATCTGCTGGGCGATGATGATCCCCCGCACGGATTGCCCGTTGGCCAAATGCCGTTTGACCCAGTTCTTGTAGCGCAGTATCTGACCAGCGACCGAGTCAGGACCGCGGGCGACCTTCAGCTCAATCACTACGAAGGCGCCCTGCCCGTCCACGGCCAGGATATCGATACGCCCTACCTCGGTGATAAACTCGACCCCGATTCGCTCATCGGGATGCACGTAGAGCTGCAACCCCGGTTCGATCTCATCCAGGTGCTGGGCGAGGTAGTCTCGCAGGTGCGTCTCGGCCGCGAATGCGTGGCCCGTGTCGTCATCCGCGCTAGGCTGGACCTCATCGCCGCACTGGCGGACCGAGAACCGCCCGTCGGGCGTTTCGAAGAGCTCCCACATCCCGTGCTGCTCGGGGGAGTAGAGTTCGATGCGTCCCGACTCCGGGCGGAAGAACTGGTCGAACAACGGGTTGTCGCAGACACGCGACCGGACATCGACCCCGTAGTGCACCCGCGAAGGATGGTTGACCGTGCCGGCGATCATCTGGCACTGAATCGTGGTCTTGTTGGTCCCTGGGTACTTGCCCATAACCCAGCTGGTCACGTCGACATTCGAGGCCGCGCCTCCCAGGACCTCGATTGCCTCCCGCACCATCTGGCGGACTGTTGGCTTAGAGTCAGACAAGATTCACTCCCTGTTGATGAGAACACAGGCTGCCGCCTGGTGGGCGCCGACCGCAGCAGTTTGTGACCGAACGCTGAGCCAGCTCTACGCCTGACTCCGCCCCCAGTACAAGACATCCAGGTGCACCGGGTGCGTGCCCATCCGCTTTGCCACGCGCCGGGCGACTGCCTGGTACTGCTTGCTCGCCTCAGGCGTAAGCCGCTTGATGGTGCCCCACTTGGGCAGGCCCTCGCCCTCTGGCTCCGCGAGCAGCCGGGTGGCGATGTCCCGATCGAGAGGCACCTCGAGCAATGATTCCAGCTTTGCCAGCCCGTACTCCCGGCACAGGTAGCGGCTGTAGAGGACATCGCGGAGGAAGATATTAAGCGACTTGCGAGCGGCGCCCCAGTTCCTCGCTGCTCGCGGGAGACGGCGCCGCACAAGCTCGGTGTGGGCGTCGAGCAGCTCGCCTAAACTCTGCCGCCCGGCTGCGCAGTAGTCCTCCAGCGGAAGCAGCTTCAACGCGTCACGGGCGGCCTGCACCACGCCGGCATCCCCTTGGTTCCGCAGCGTCGACGGACCGATGGCGACATTGGCTGTGCGGATCAGCAGGTGCTTGAAGACGATCTCGTTCATTGAGCGTCCACGCTCTTACTTTGGGACAGCAGGTAGCTAAACACGCAGACAAAACGCATGAACCCAGCGGCCAGCGTCTGAGCCGCTTCGTCTTGCGTACCCTGCAGGTGATAATGGTAGGTGAACGACCTCCGCTTTTGCTCGACCTCAACCGACTTCGTGGCAATTCCGAGGACGCGCGACCAGCTGGCATGATCTGCGTTCGCAAACCACGCTTTTGCGACGGGCGGCGCCGCGTCAGCGATCTTAAACTCCAGCTCTACAACGATTTCAAGCTGGGATAGGTCTTCGCAATCCGACTGCGCCGCCAGAACACGCAAGAAAGTGTTCGCGTTCCCACTGTCGAGTCCGGTATAGAGTTCTTCGACTCTGGTATCTCTCCAGGTATTCAGCTTAAGCGGATGCACACCGGTGTACAGCGAGTCAATGCCGTCGGCCACCGCGGCCATCAACGCCCGAATTCCTTGACGATTCGCATCTTCAACAGTCTTGGGCGCCGCGCGGCTCGCAATAATCGCCCGTACCCGTTCGGCTCCGCTGGCGATCAGGGATGAGTACAGGTCCTTGCTGTCGCCGGCAACCTGCGCTGCGAGCCAGTCCAGCAGATCGGGCCAGGCAAGGTGGACTTTCGCATCTCGGCGAGTTGGATCCAGCGTTAGTGAGGCGAACTCCATCCCGCCGACGCCTCGGGTAGGCGTCAGGTACACAACGGCGATTCGTGCCTGGCCGGCGGGAATGCCTAAGACTTCTTGCCTTTGCGACTTCCGCACTAGCCGACGGTAGTACTTGTTCAACTGCTCGCGGGTGATGGCGCCCGCAGCGACCTTGTTCTCTATCACAATCAGCCAGTCGCCCCAGGCCAACAGCAGGTCGAGCGAGTCCTGTTCGCACACGACGTGACTTGGGCCACCGTGCAAAGAGTCCACACCGTCTTCCTCGATAGCTCGCCGGAATTGACTGACGAACGCAGTCTTGAGCGCGTTATCGAATGCTGGATCGAGCAGAGTGGCCAGCAGCGCACTGGCCCCGGTCTCATTTGCCACAAGGTGGCGAAGTAGGTTCGGTGCTGGATCAGAGTTGGCGATGAGAGCCCCCCTAGTGCGTTGAAAGGATTTTACGCAGTCTGGCGGATGGCCCGATGGGCCAGAAATGCCTCGGAAATTGCTGGTTTTGCTTCTGAGTTGCAGCCGCCCGATCCGAGTACTAGAATTGCGTACAGCTGGTGGACAAAATTCGGCTCCATGCCGTGTGGGCTTCCTTGGAGGCCCCTATATCCGCCGGCTATTTTTTTGCGCGGGCCTCGAGCGTTAACGGAGTCGCCTGGGTGTAGTAGACCCCGTAGCCTCGCTCGCGGGTGTCGTCGACATCATGCACTAGGCCGACCTGTGGCCAGATCAGGTTCAGAAATCGATCCTCATCGAGTTCGTAGAACCGCTGCAGCGCCCATAGAAAGTAGTCGACAGCCTGCAAACAGACTGTCTGGCGTGGTTCGCTCGCGATGATTTCTATCGGCGCCTCGCTTTCGATTCCCCATTTGGCCCGAAACGCTTGCTTGGCGGCTAGCAAGGCGTCACCGAAGGCGTCAGTCCGGTCCGAGCTACCACGAACGGCAAAACAGATCCTGTAGCCATCATCCTTGTGCAGCCGCTCCTTGAAGAGCTTGCTTACGCATCGGTCGTAGAGTTGATTCGGATGGTATCGGTAAGCTGGTTTGCTCTTGTGTTTCGCGGTTACCTTCCGAGCGATGACTCGCTTGTCGTGAACCACCGCATAGAAGCGGATGTCGTGGCGCACGAGCAACCGGAACACCTCACGACGCACCTCCGGAACGTCGTCCTTGGCATGGAATGCTAGTGCCGTCTTGCGTTTCTCCGCCTGCATCGATGGCACGCCCTTGAAGTACTCGTCGGCCAGCAGACTCTTCCTGAGCTGCTCGAGCTCCCCGCTGAGTACCATCGGGTCCACCACGTCAACCTTGCCGACGAAAAAGTACGAAGAGCACCCCGGCGTACCGACGATGACACGTCCCTTGCGGTTAAACAGCGTGGGATCACCGGACTCGTCGACGAAGTAATGTCGAACGACAGGCGATGGGCGGCTTGCATCGCTCATGTCGCATCTTCCTCCAGCAACCGATATGCCATGGTGGACAGCAGCTTCTCGGTAGTTGCGCACTGCTGCCTGAGTTGTGTACCTAGATTCTCGCAGAGAGAAATTAGCCGTTCCGCCTCCGAAACATTGCGATTTTGAGAACCTGGAGTCGGAGGTGCAAACGGGAGTTTCTGTACTTTGCATGTGGGAACGCGGGAATCCGTCGCTCTCACCTGTGTTGATCGAAGTCGTGAGTGCCAGAGACTGCAGACATAGATAAGAGTACTCTGGCAACACAGTTACGTCGCTGACCTCAGGACGCGCACCTCGTTGCAGCAGAAACGCTCGCAAATCTCTCTTGCCAACACGAGCCACGTTTAGGCTGGTTGAGATGAGCGGACGATCTAGACTAAGGACGATATGCCCTTCCCCAAGTGTGAATCTCTCGAACTCCTTCGCTCAATCGGCAGAGACGTTTGCAGCGTCGGTCCAATTAATGAATCCATGACCGATACTGGTGTTGCGATCAAGCCTGACCCCTGAATCCAGAATGTTTCAGACGCTCACACAGAGTCAGCGTAGGAGCAGTCTAGCAAGTGGTCTACACCGATCAAATCCGCCTCCGAGTTTTGGGTAACTCGCTCTATTTGGAGAGTTTTAAACGCGTTCAGGGTGTATTCCGGGTGCGCACATGGCCCTGCTGCCTGCCGCGAAAATCTACTCCACATTCGCGCATTCCATAGTTGGATAGCTTCAATCAACGGTATGAACTCAACGGTTGGCGAGTTCAAAATCTGAAGGAAGGTCAACAAGGTAGTCTTAGCTGCGGAGCGTAGACATGGCTCAAGTTCGACGTAGTTGCGATGCAATCGTGTAGAACTATACGTCGAGTCTCCGGCAGTTCACCAGTGAAGAGTGCTCGACGCAGTTGGAACGCTGAGACCTGAAGTTCGAATAGCCGAGTCACTGAGTAATCACTCCGATCTCGGCTGCCGAGGCTTCAGGGTTCCCCCGAATGGATCTGCCTGCAGTGAGCCGCATGTAGCGACCGGTATATCGCTGGTCGAACAAGACCTCCCGGTACCCTGGATTATTAGTCATGTTGTCAAACTCTCCCGAGGACGCTTGTTCCCACATCTCGCCATCCGAGCTGACCTCAATTGAATACTCTAGGATGCACCCCGCCTTGTGCGACTCCGGTCGGGGGAGATAGCTGAAGCCTGCCAGAGTGAGTGGTTCTCCAAAGTCAATTGTGATGGATTGGGGGCTCTTTGGCCTATCCGGACGCCAGCGGCTATGCCAGATGGTCGCTGGATCGCCATCGATAGCGTTAGAGGCTTGTTCGCCGGCGTCAGCTTGCTCGGAACTGACTCGGTGAACAGACCACAGAGTTGGTGGGATGTCGCACCGCACCACGGCCACATCTGAGACATTGCTGGCGTCGGCTTCGTCTATGGCCACGGCAGTCAACACGCCTTTGACCGTGAAGCGAAAGGGCCGTTCGAACCGCTTGCTCCTACTAGAGGGAACAGTCCCGTCTACTGTGTAGTGAATTGCAGCGTTAGCAGGCCCCTCGATCGTCACCAATCCGTCTCGATCACGACGGATGATCGGCTGCCTTAGAACAAGCGGACGATTGAGCAACCTTATTCTCCTTAGGCTAGGGTTACTACGACCAGAAGTGATGTGAATACGAACGTGCCTGGCGGTCACCTTCTTGGTCTTCAATAGTCGTCGGTGACCGACCGTCCCGCCTTGCCCGACAATCTGCCACTTCTTGCCGACTAACGCTTCAACACGAATCGCTTCGATGCGTTGGCCACTGCTGAGAGTGTGTTCTTGCAAGTCCACGAGGTCAAACGTTTCTTGTGCGCCGAGGTCCAATTGAATCCAACCACGGTTGTCTCCTGCAGAGAGCTGCCAGTAGGTGTCTGGATCATCATCCACCAAGTACTCGGGACCGTGTCCAGACTCGCTAGAGCTAACGCGTACCTTGGCGCCAGATGCTACGTCCTCATCGAACATCTTCCTCAGATAGTCGCCGAACTTTCGCAATGAAGTAACATCTGACTCATGAAAGAGACCCCGCCTGTCGGGAGGCACATTCAACAGGAGCACTCCGTTGTTTCCAGGCCCGTTGAAATAGCAGGCGAGCAGGCGTTCCAGCGATCCGTTGACATGGCCGTCTTCGCGCGCGTGGTAGAACCACCCTCCGCGAATCGAAGTATCCACTTCGGCGGGCCACCAGTGGTACTTTGCTCCCGCCCTCCACGCATCCTCAAGAACCACGCGGCTCCCCAGATCTCGTTCCGTTGGTTCACGCCATTGTTCGCCAGCTTTGGAGGCAGCAGGCAAGACGCTGAATTCGTTCTCTCGGCCTTTACCGCCTTCATTACCGACCCAACGCACATCGGGCCCCTTGATGGCAATCACAGCATCTGGGGCCAGCTTGCGGATCAAGCTGTACCACGCGTCGTAGTTATAGGTTTGACCGCCCTTTCTCTTTGGATGGGCGCCATCAAACCACACTTCGTGTATCGGGCCGTACTCGGTGAGTACCTCGTACAGTTGGTTGAGCATGTAGGCGTTGTAGTCGTCAATCCCGTCAAAGGTGAATTCCCGATGATGCTCTGCGAATGGCCGACCAGCGGCTGCTTCAGGAATCGTACGCGTTACCTTCTTCGAGAGGTTACCGTACAGACCCCGTTCGCTCTCGATCTGATACAGGTCTGCAGGCGAAAGGTAGATGCCAACCTTGACCCCGTGCTTGGCGCATGCCGCTGCAAGTTCTCGCAGAACATCGCCTTCGCCATTCCGCCAAGGGGAGCTCTTAACCGAGTGAGTCGTGTAGCGCGTCTGCCATAGACAAAAACCGTCGTGGTGCTTGCAGGTGAGCATCATCATCCTCATCCCGGCTCTCTTGCCGGCGAGAACCCACTGTTCACAGTCGAGCTGCGATGGATTGAATAGTGTAGGATCCTCGAGGCCAGTGCCCCACTCACGATCGGTGTATGTATTCACTCCGAAGTGGACGAAGCAAGTTAAGCCCAAGTCTTGCCACGCAACCTGGCGTGGATGGGGAAGCGTGTTGGCTGCTTCGATTAGCCACAAAGGCTGTGTCTCGCTCTGCGGAATCGGCGGGGTACTAGTCTCGGCCGCGACGCTACTCGTGAGTAAGAGTAGGTAGCAGGTCAAACCGGCCCCTGTTTTTTGGAGACCTACTGTGATAGAGCACATTCTGGAGTTGGCTTGCGAACGGTTGCGTAGAGTTTAGAGAGGCCCTGAGTATGCGGTGAACTGCCGGCTATTCCGATTGCGATCGCGCCGATCACTTGCCGATACAACATTGCTCTCACGATCGAATCCCCGCCTAGCTTGCAACCACTCGTCTGTAGTTCGGGTGGACACAAACTCGGATGGCGGTGAGGCTTGCTTAATTGGAGGAATGGAGCTTGTCACGTTGGCCCTACCGTCCCAATCGAACCGAAGCGGTCCTAGGGGACGCGAGAGTTTAGTCGCGGATTACATTGAAGTCCGCTTCATCGTAAGCAAGTCTCTTGTGAGGGCTCCGGGAAACTACGCTAACGTTGTCAGGATGGCTTAGGGAGCGAGTGACGGGATGCCAGGTGCACGAAAGTTGAGCAGGTGTCATCGTACCCAACCATTTCAACGTCGGGCTGATGACACGAGTCGCAGCAAATTCGCATTGCTCCGCCGCCGACTGCATCTCGACAACTACGGAGCCCTACTCGTCTGGGAACGCTCGCAACACGTCCGCGGCAATCTGCGGACGCCTAAGGGCGAGTCAGCCAGCAGCCACTGATCCAACGAACCAGTTAGAATGCCAACCGGAATCGACCTGAACTTCGAGGTCCAAGGACCACCACTACTGCCTTCTCCACCATTTCGTGTTCGCTGGACGGGCAGTTGAGTCAATGGCTCCGCGTGTCAATGAGGCGGTGACGACTCCAGCAGTTTCCAACAATTCAGCAACATGCGAGGCAAGTGGAACGGCCCCTTCCAAAGATTGCCTTTTAATGCAACGCTGAGTCGTCCGTCTCGATGCAAGTAGCCAAACCACTCGCCGTGGAGTGGATCTGGAAAGTGATTGAATGACCAGTCGTGCACAAGTTCATGCCAATCTGCGTAGCGTTCGTCGCCGGTTAACCTATACGCTAACAACGTGGCGATAGTTGCTTCGTTGTGCGGCCACCAGAATTTCATGTCGTGCCAGTACTCTTGAAGCGGAAGTCCATTCACGTCAACAAAGTAGAGTATACCTCCGTAGGTGCTGTCCCAGCCACGTTTCCACATCCACTCTAGCATCTGGCACCCGAGCTTGATCATTGATTGGTCCCGACGTCGCCGGCCTTCGGCCATAATGAACCAAGCACCCTCGATGGCGTGCCCCGGGTTCAAGGTGCGACCGTCGAAGTGATCGATCAGCTCGCCAGATGGGCCGACAATCTCCATCACACACTCGATGTCAGGCTTTACGTGATAGCGCTGAATGTCTTCGATACACTGGTCAATCCAGTGGTCGGCGTCCTCCAACCCAATCGAGTCTCTCAACTGCTGAGCGGTGTTGATCGCGATCATCGGAAAACCGAGCGTCCGCGTCGGTCGTACGTCGGTAAACTTGGGCGAGACCCCACGCGGATCCAGATTGTGTTCGATAAAGCCTCTAAAGGTGCGGCGAGCCTTTTCAGCGTACTCGTCCGATCGGAGTGCTTGGGCAACTTCGCCGTACGCGATTGCCGCGAAACTCTCTGAGAACGCATACCGGCGTTTGCGGATCGGCTGGCCATCACGCGCCAGGTGAAACCACATCCGACCGTCGGTTCGGTCAAAGCAGTAGCGGTCAATAAAGTTGACCCCGTGACACGCCAGCTGCAACCATTCGTCGCGTGGTTCGACGTTGTTGTACAGCTCGCCGAGAAGCCAGGCAAAGCGGGCTTGCTGCCATACGCCCTTATCTGTGTCGATTACCGTTCCGTCTCGATCCAGCGCCGTTAGAAATCCACCGCAATCATGGTCGACGGAATGGGTGATCCAGAATGGCACGACGTCTTCGAGCAGGCTAGATCGGTAGAAGTCGGCGAGTTCGGATTGCCGCTCAGGTCGCATACCCTCCACTCCTCAACACGGGGGAACGGCAGGACGGTCGTGGATCGTTAGGCCGTGGAGCTGCTGCGGTAAAGGTCGTGCGAAGCACGCACTAGCGGCGTAGCCCACGACTATCGTCACCATCGTTCCTACCATTGCGAACAGGAACGGATGCACGCCCTCAACGGAAGCGAGCACAACCGAAGCAATGCCGCAGGCTGATCCAATCAGCCCGCCAGCAGAGTTTGCCCTGCGTGTGGTAATCCCTAGCATGAACAGCCCGCAAACAGCGCCGCCGAACAGCCCTACCACCTTAATGAAGGTGTCCATCATGCTGGTTTCATTCAGCTGCACAAGCCAGCACGCCATGGCTGTTCCGCCAAGTCCGAGGATCCCAGTGAAGAGCCTTGCCAGTATCAGATAGCCTGAATCTGTTTGGCATACGCGCAGTGGTTTGCAGAAATCCGTGACGATTGCGGTCGCCGTACTGTTCATGCTTGTCGAGATCGTGGATTGGGCGGCTGCAAAGATCCCAGCCACAACTACTCCCGCAACGCCTACCGGAAGTTCTGTTGCGATGAACAGCGGGAATATGGCGTCATTGTGCATCCCTATGTCGAGTTTCTGCGGATAGCCCTTATAGAACACATAGAGGGCTGTGCCCATCATGAAAAACAATACACTTCCAAACACGCCCATCCAGGCAGTGGTCCACATGGCACGCCTAGCGTCTGGCAGGGTCTTGGTGGTCAAGTAACGTTGAACTACTGCTTGGTCCGAAGTGTACGAGTACAAGGACTGGAAGAGCTGGCCTAGGACTACTACCCAGATTGCGGTCGTAGTGTAGCTCGTCTGAGAAAAATCGAGGTCCGCGATGCGAAGCTTTCCATCTCGGTACGCGACACTCGCTATCTCCGGAACGCCGCCGTCGATCGTCAAGACCACGATCGTGATTGCCACCAACAGGCCACCCAGCAAGACGACCGTTTGCACCGCGTCGGTCCACACTACCGCCTCCACGCCCCCGAGAGTGCAGTAAACAACACTAAGTATGCCCATCATGAGGACGCATTGGATAACCGAGAACGGCGTAATGGTTGCCAGAGCTAGTGCCGGCAAGTACATGACTATGGCCATACGACCGATCTGAAAAAGCACGAACTGAGTGCTAGAGATGAGCCGTACAGCGTAGCTAAACCTCTTCTCCAGATATTCGTAGGCGGAGGTAGCGTCGATGTGCCGGAAGAAGGGGATCGCAATCCGGTTCACAACTAGAGCGACCGGGATAATGGTGAGTTGGGCGGCATAGTAGATCCAGTCTGTTGCGAACGCCTTTGCCGGAAGGGCGACGAATGTGATTGAGCTGAGCATCGTTGCAAAGATGCTTAGGCCAGCCACGATGAATGGCACTCTCTGGCCACCACGAAAGAAGTCATTTGTAGTGTGGGTCCGAAGGGCAAAGAAGGCGCCCAACGCCATGACGCCCAACAAGTAGACGATCAGCACCGTATAGTTGACCGTGCCGAAATCTGCCCCAGCGCTCTCCAATCGCAACGCTTGCACCGCGTTCGTGCGGACGCCAGGACGCACTTCACCGGATGGAATCACGATTCGGTCGTCCCAACGCGTGGCGGTAGTTGTTACGACGCCGATTGGCATCTCTCCAGCTTCGGTCCAAGTATCGGTGAGCGTGTGGTACGCCAGGACGGTGGAAGCGAATGCCGGCCGCTCGGAGACGGGAAGCGTGATATACCTGCCGGTCGAGCCACTGAATACAAGGACGTGGCTTTGACCGATGCCAATTCCAGTGGCGGCGGCGACTGGCCACTTCGCCTCAGCATAGGACGCCGTGTCTACACCGACCCGGGGGTCGCCAATTGATGGCAGATCTGCAATTGCGTTCCATACTCTGTCAATGGGGTCGAACTTGAACGCGTCTGTGAAGTACTCGAAGTTGGCAAGGTCTGGCGATCCATCGGAAAAATACCTTGGATTCGCGCCACTGATTAGAAAGAGCTTCTCTCGCCCTGAACCATCATTTTGCGTGGCTACCACGCATTGATGGCGTGGTGAGCCTGGGTATGGGGGGAGCGTCATGTCCCACTCCAGCTCTCCGGACTCAGTGAGATTCGTAAGGTCGACTGACCAGAAGTACTTTTTGTCCAGGCGATCAGACCCCGAGGATTGGCCGGCACCGACGACGTACAAGCGCTGGCCAATTCGAGCTGCAGCGAGGTTGCTAACTGGGCGAGGAAGCCGGCCCACGCTCTTGACGCGTACATTTCGCGTCCCGGCGTCCCAAGCTAGTAAATAGATTTCGGCGGAGGGAATACCGTCATTCTCTCCGCCGATAAGCAGAACGCCTGCGTCGGTTGACACCGAGGCGCTGTATGCTACTGGCGTGAGCAATCTCCCCGCTTCAATCCACCCATTTGCCAGCGTATCCCCGCCGTCGCGAGCGAGAACATAGATCTGATCATGCCACTCTTTGTCTCCGCCGGCCCAAGGTGGGCCACCGGGAAAGTTAGCCCCGCCTGCAACGATCAGAGCATTCTTGTGAACGCCTGCGACAGGCCCACCGAATCCGAGCGTATCGGGGAGTTCCGGCAATTGCTCCCAGAGCATTGTTGCCGAGCAACGCGGGGCCTGCATGAAACTCACCAGCACGGCGGTTACGATAACTGCGCGGTGT